GAAGATAGGCTTTCTGCCTGAATGACTATTTCTCGGTTGTATGAGAAACAACTAGCAAATGCAAAAGAGAAACAGCCTGTTAAGACAGGTGCTGAGAGCTCCAGTTTATTTGTTTTGCTCTTTCAGTATGAGATTTTTTTTTTTTTTCTAAAATGGCCAGTATTTTATTCCAAACAAACCTGAGACTGTCTTTAACCCCAGACATGATTAGGAGGTTTGCAGCATGGTAGGACCAGCTCTGTGGACTGGGTATGAGATTTAGACTTGTCATTTTTTTTTCTCTTAGTGAAATTAAGCATCGGGTCCCAGACTAGGCCTAGCTAGCAAATATTCTAAGGGGATCACAGTCATCTTACAACTGAAACTGGACTGCACCATCCATGCCACACACATCATTGAATGTAATCTTAAAAATGGCTTCTGCAATTGTTGGGTGAATTAGTTCCAGGCAATTGTATATTTTTTTGTATGTTAAATGTCAGTTTATTTAGTGTAAACATAAAATGTGGTCTAAATGTTACGCTAAAAGGTGGCATTTATAAAACATGCTAAGAACCTCAGGATCTAGACAAGGCCAGGACCTCTCTCTCTCTGTGTCTTACTCTGGACATTTTTGCCCATGAATGGCTTGTGGATTCCTATAGCCCTGTCTGGCATGCACTGTTACTGAAAGGGACCACATGGCATGAACTTGAGCTGCACTAATTCCTTTGGGGATAGTCCACCTACTCTCTGTCCATGTTTCTTTTAAACTCCCAGTCTGTTATAGGAATCATTTAAAATCCTTTTAGCCGGAGAATCTTCTGGTTTGAGTTCAAGCTAAAAACCTATCTCTTATTGGTTAGAGACACTGATTCCAAATTACTTACTATGAAGAACACATAATATTTCCTTCTCAGTTTTTTTTCAATTTGGATTGGAGGAGGGAAGGGGAGACAGGCAAACACATCATCTAATTTTTGTTTTACCATTCCAAATAAACTCTCTGGTTTCACTGGCACTCTGAGTTCCGGTGAAAAATGGGTGGAATGAAGCTTGTATTATCATGAATATTCAACAATATTATATCTATAGAAATTGAAGCAATTGTGAAGGATATATAATAATTCAAATTTCACTCTGCATTAGGTCAGATTTCCAATGCTATATCTAAATACCTGAGGGTATTTTGGCTCATATTACAAGATTGAAAGGTTTATTTTGGCTCACTGTTTCAGTCCATGATTGCTTGGCCTTGTGGCTGTGGGCCTGTGGGAAGCAGAACATCATGGTGGGGGAGTGCACAGTAGGGCAAAGCTGCTCACTTCATGGCAGCCAGGAAGTAAAGAGAGAAAGAGGAAGGAGCTGGGGTCCCAATATCACCTTTAAGAACAGGCCCCCATGATCTAACTTGCTTTCATCAGGCCCCACCTCTTGACTATTCCATCACAATTAGTGACCAAGCCTTTCATATAAGTACCTTTGGAGGACAGGTAAGGTCCTAACTATAGCAGAATCTAAATGTGTAATGAGTGAAAATGTAATACTAAACTTTAGGCTAAGGGAAGTTTTATGGAAACAACACATTTTTGTATAAGTCAAATTGCTAGTGACCTATCTTGACCAAGAGAGAGGCAATCTGTCTGGGAAAAATAAATCGCATTCTGGGGTAAAATTTACACAGAAATCAGCAGGATGCAAATTTTATGGTCATTTGAATTCAGATGATCTAATTTGGGGTTTAATAATATAAGGATGAATTTACCCTTTTATAGGTAACAAATTATACAATGCCCTGTATATTTTAAAATGAAATAGTTAAAACGATGAGGGGAAGCCTTTCCCTAGAATTCCAGTTTACTGCACTTGACTGTAAAATTTTGTGTGACAGAATATTGCCAGTTAAAGAAGACAAGTATTAACATATTCATTGGGTGCATTTGAATACGCCTTATTGGAATTTATGGGAAACAAAATATCTGTGTTTCTAACTTTGCTTCTCAGGCAGAGATTCCCTCAGTGCACATCAGAGGTGAGAAGAGGTCATGGCCACAGTTCATGGACCATGCTTCTCACAGTCCACTGAACAACCCTTGGGATCACAGAGACCTCACTACAGCACGACTTTACAAAGATATTTTGTATTTGTGTCAGGGGAACTTATTTTTGCACACTTGTGAAGAAGTACAAGTAAGGAATTCTGATAATAGGAATAACACTTTGACTTTCATATCAATCCAGTGGCAAGTTTAAATTTATAATTTGGTGATTAGTTCAAGCATGGTTTTGCATTATTTTCAATTAATTAAATTACTGTTATAATGTATTCAGATGAGAATACATTTGCAATTGACATCATGTTGTAAAATGGAAGATATGCATACCCTATGCTAACAATCTCAGTTTTGAATATATGCCATAGAGAAAGATTTTTTTTATATGCACCAGGAGATATGCATGCTTGCTTTGTTGCACTGTTGCTTTTAAACAGTGTTGCAAAAATCAGGGAAAAATCAGAATGTCTGACCCTATGAGAACATACAAAGGTATAGTGGTCCATCTGCATTGTGAAGTACTATCAAGTATTTAGGAATAAACATTCGGGCTTTCGTGCGAAGACAAGGAATAATAAAGAAATGATATAGTGAGAAGGGAGAAGGGAAACGTTGACAACCATGTAAAGTTAGATGAATTTTTTGTAAATTTAAATCCACTTAATATTTTATACTTACCCACATATTATATTTTCATATTTATATATGCATATATTTGTTATGGTTTGAATATGAATTGTCTGCCCCAAAGCTCATGTTTAAAAAGCATGATCCCCAATGCAATGAGGTTCAGAGGTGGGGCTTTTAAATAATGATTATAGCATGAGAGTTATAACCTCATCTGTTACAGCTCATTTAATGGATTAATAATTTGAATGGACTACAGGGTGGTAACTCTAGGCAGATACTGCAGAAAGTAGGGCACTGGGGTTGTGGCCTTGGGGATAATATCTATCCTTGGTCTGTTGTTCCCTTCTTTTTCTCTGCTTTCTGGTTGCTATGAGCTAAGAATTTTTCCTTCTCCACACTCTTCTACTATAATGTTCTGCCTCACCTCAGTCCAAGATCAATGGAGTCAGTTGACCATGGACTGAATCTTTCAAAATGTGGTCCCCAAATAAACATTGCCTCTTTTTAATTGTTCTTGTGAGGTATTTTGTTTATAGTGACAAAAATCTAACATATTTTATCTTATTATTATGATTTAGATATGAGATGTCCCCCCAAAACTCATGTGTGAGACAATGTAAAAAAGCTTAAGGGTAAAATGATTGGGTTATGAGAGCCTTAACTTAATCAGTATTTTGATCCACTTGAATGGATTAACTGTGTGGTAACTGCAGACAGTCTTTACTTCCTTGTGCCATGTTCTGAGTTGTTTTTTTTTTTTTTTCCACCACATTCTTCCACATTTTTCTGCCATTATGTCCTGCCACACCTTGGGCCTGGAGGAATGGAATTGGCCAAGTATGCACTGAGACTCTGAAACTCTGAACCCCAGAGAAGCTTTTCCTCCTCTAAAATGGTTCTTATCGCATCTTTTGGCCACAGCAGCAAAAGGCTGATTGAGACCTTTTTATATGCATATGTATATATATTTGGAGAGAGGTGTCTAACTTACAAATGCCTTGTATTTGGAGAGGGGAGGCCAACATATTTCATGTAACAGCCATATCAACACTCACAAGGTCCCCAACTTGCCTTGCATGGTCTTGTATTTCCCAAGGAAGAAACAATGCATGTAGAGAGAAACCACCCTCAGCTGGTTGGCCTCTGTCACCCTAATCACAGCAGGCAGAGGCACATGACTGACATTTCCACCATAATCAGTGGAATTAGGGCAGGTGGTTCTCTCACTGACAGAAGGGTCCAGGCAGACCAGTAATGAGGCTCATCATATGAGTATATTTGTGTGTTCCTTACAGATACTCTATGCTCTAGTGTTGTAATAATTCACTTGTTAATCCTCCCTGGAGCATCCATGCTCAGTTACAAAGACCATGCTCTGCTTATCTTCGTAATTCCAGTACTGAACAGGTGGCACCTAAGTGACACTTGAAAATTCTTAGGCTGACTAAAGCAGTGTTTTCATTGCTGAACAAAAATACTGGTATGGAGAATTAATTACCTCTCAAACTACAGCCATGTGTCAGTTATTGATGGGGGTATATTCTAAGAAATGTGCCATTAGGTAATTTTGTTGTGGGGTGAATATTGCAGTGGGTGCTTAAACGAAGGCAGCTGTAATGTCCGTAGGTGACAGAGTCATATGTATATTCTGTCATCAGCTGAAATGTTGTCATGCTGTTTCTGTAATTATCCTGTTGACTTACTTTCAAATTCCTTAGAAGACCATTGTATTGGGCTGGAGGTGTAGCTTAGTGGTAGAGCACATGCCTAGCATATGTGAGGCCCTGGGTTCCATCCTCAGCACCTCATAAAAATAAATAAATAAAATGGGGGTATTGTGTCCAACTACAACTAAAAAATAAACTATATATATATATATATATATAATGAAGGCCATTGTATTCCTGGGCTATGTAGAAAAATTAACTAATTAATAACTGACTAAATTCAATCAACAGTGCTCTGTTGAGTTGATATGTGATCTTTAATATATGAATGTTATTTACCAAACCAAATATAGTCAATTTGAATATTTCTGTATATAGTATATATTTTAGCATCAAATATTATCTAAAGCAAATGGCATTCTGCATCTTGACAGGTCTTTAATGACATTTTTTCTGACATTTTTGAACTAGCATAGAGCACCAGATATGAATAATCTGGTGTAAACAATGTACATATCTAATGATTAATGGGTGATGTGCACTAATCTTGTTTTAATTGTGTTTAAATTTAGTGCTGTATGTTTGGTTATAAAAAGAAATAGACTTCTAGAAATAATGACAGAATAGAAGTCAACATATTGTAATTTTCTTCCCCTTTTTATGTTCCTAGAGACTTGAGGTTTAACAGAATAAGAGAAATTCCAGGGAGTGCCTTCAAGAAACTCAAGAATCTGAACACTCTGTGAGTACTTATTGCTAATCTGTGGGGTTCCTAAAATTACGACCTACTTGGTTTGCAATTTACCATGAAAAGTCATTTAAAAAATAAAGAACAGTCTATAGAAGAATGAAATCTAGTTAGGGGACTTGTAACCAGCAAAATTCAGTTGCTTTTTTCCACAGCCAATATTTTTCTTTACTTCTGAACTTGGAAGATATTCCTCTTTATCTGTTATTTATGTTTAACTTGCTTAGAAAAGTTTCTCAAAATGAAGAAACTGAGAGAAAGAGTGATTATATACCTTGTCTGTGGGTCCCCTGGCAAAAAAGCCATAGAATGGAATTAAGACTCATGACTTCCTGAGTCCAAAGCCCATTCTCTCTCCAGTATACTGCTGTATTTTATTTGCAATATCACAAGACCCCTATAAAATCACATAGAAGAGAAAAAATGACAATTTTTATGGCTAAGCACTGATAAAAATTTCCAGCATTTAAAAACTTACATTTTATTTATGGAACAGCTATCCGTTATCTCTTTTGTATTTAGCAGTTTGTGGGCTTTGGATTCAGACTCAAATGTAACTGAATCTACTGTGCTGTAGCTGATAGTCTGTCCTTGTGGAGTAGTCAGTAAACAAAACCCCAACTGTGTGGTGGCGGGATTGTAAATTAGTACAAACATTTAATCAATAAAAGAGTTTCCTCAAAAGACTAGGCATGGAGCCACCATCAGACCTAACTATATCAATCCTCAGTATTTCATCCAAAAGAATTAAAGTCACTATACTATAGAAATATAGGTATACCCACATATATAACAGCATAATTCACAATAGTCAAGTTATGGAGCCAGCCTTATTGTCTGTTAACAGATGAATAGAATAAGAAAATGTGTTATATATACACAATGGATAAAAAAGAACAAAATTATGTCATTTGTAGGAAAATGGATGGAACTTGAGAGCAATATGTTAAACAAAATAAGCCAAACTCAGAAAGTCAAGAGTCATATAATTTCTCTCATATATGGAAGACAGAAAAAGAAAAAGGTAGGGCAGTATCTCATAAACATAAAAGGGGGACCAGTAAAGGAAGGGGTTAGGGTTAGGGTTAGGGGAAGGGAGGAAAAGAGGGAAAGGGGAGGTACTGGGAATGAAAATGGTCAAATTGTATTATGTTCATGTATGAATTTGCCATGATGAATCTCACTATTCTGTATATATAACACACCAATAAAAGTTTTTAATAAGCCAAGTCATAGTACATAACTAATTTTTTAAAAATATGGTAAATGGAGTGCTTTGAACAATGATGACAGGAGGCTTAAAAGTATTAAGAGTGCTCAGTGTTTAAAATCATTGATTTTAACCCCCAGAGAGAATACACTAAAAGTTAAGAATATCCAGTGTGGCTAATCCCATGTGAGTTCATTTGTCTTCTTGTCATAATATTCTCATAACAGAGTTAGCAATCTTATCAACATGGTTCGACTTCTCACCATATTCTGGCCAACTTATCCTTTCTAACTTTAGAGCTGAGATCATGACTTTACTTGTACTTTTCCTAACTGGTTCCTTTCCAATAAAAGATGCCTGTATATACATATTTTATCATCATGTCTTCGGTTGGGAGGATATAAGAGTATAACAAAGTAGGGACTGCAGGATATATATATATATATAT